TTCTCCTTTTTTATTCAAAGTGTGTCAGAACATTTAAAATCTGACATAGATTATTGTATGGATAAGTGGCGCAAAAGAAAATAAATGAACAAATCTTTATTTGCATGCATATGTGTCTAGTGAAGCCCCAAACTCCAAGGTTCCACCAGTTGTTTGTGTATCCTAGTCAATCACTGTATGCTTCCCAGTACACCCAACCTCTGAGGGCTGTTCAGCCCACACAGGACCTGAGTCACTCTGCAGAATTGCCTGTCACTCATGATGGATTACAGATGGATCCCAGCGAAATCAGGCTTCCAAATTGGTGCCTTGAATACATACAGTTCAGATGTGGATTCAGAACTTTTTGCCAGATATTTTACCTTTGTGTCTTTGCTCTTGGACCTATAGGAACGCAAACACAGAGTAGAAAAACGTTTTTAGAATGCACTTAGAATGAAGTTAAGCATCTAAAGGCAAATGCATGTGATCAGAGCCAAATGATTGTGGTTAAATTACCATCTTTCAGCTAAGATGTTTTAATTCCTAGCCTATTGCAACATTGCAAGTGGCTAGAATTCTACCAGTGTTTTCCCTGGAACACTTGACTCATTCTTCTGAGGTTTAGAGACCTAATGGTAACTTTCCAGCATAAGCTGGACCCATGTCCATTTTACATACATTGTGTGTAGCATTTCAAATGCAGGTTTGCTACCATTTTCTGTCCCTGCTGATATATCTTCAATGGGTACATCTGAGACACTTTTCAGCTAAAGAGTTGGTCACACCATCTTTCCATGGCTGACATGAGTGTACACTTAGGCTCTTCTCCTTGTTTCCAACTGGGGAGGCCTTAGCCTATGCATCCTTTCCCTGTCCCTCTCGTGTGACCCTGTGCTTTGTATTTCCAATTTCAATCCACTTCTATTACTTCAGTCCTTAAGACTGTCAGTCCAGTTAATTCTGTATGATTTTCCATCTTCACCTTTTTCCTGAGGGCTTATGGGTTTGTGTCATTGGCAAATGTTGTTGGCATACTCTGAATTTTTGTATCTATATCAGTAAAAGACACTTAGTTTCAAAAACATAATTTGAAATATCACCGGTAATCTTCTTCTATACCAGTAATATGCCTTTTGGTCCTAATGTTGTTTCCTTCCCTTAAACCAAGTTGTGCTTCTTCTACGTTTCTAGAGTACATTGTCCAGAATAATTCTTTTTTCCTAAGTGGCATTGTATCCAATATATATGATCATATTAGCTAGGTTTCCTGTGTTGCTTTTCTTAAAATATCAGTTATCTTATAAAGAGAGATGCCAGGTTAATTTGGCATCATGATAGTCTATTTTGGGATAAAGCTGTTCATTATATTCCATTTTTCATTACCTCAGTGTCTCTAGCTATGCAATGCTTCACAATTTATTTCAAATCCTTGCATAGCTCATGAGGTCAGAGCCACTTGTTTTTATGTTGCCTAGATCATGTGCATCCTTTTTCTTAAAAGAAAAAAAGTTAGGGTTTTTATTTTTCAGACATTTGATTACCAGATAGATTCATTAAAAGTCTTTGTTATTAAAGTGGCCTTTCATGTCCAAGTATTGTAAGTACTCTCGAGTGGAGATTATGGGGTCTTGCCCTCCTGGTCTAGACACTTCCTTAAAAACAGTTTTATGTCTTTGTTTTGTTCTCATCTTAGATGAGTAATTTTCATTTCCACAGTCTGTATCATTAGCCACACTGCATTTGCTACTGTAGTCAACATCCCCATATTAATTTTGTTTTGGACTGTCTGTAAATTATCTTTAATCTTAACTGCTTTTTGCTTTTGGTGAAGCCACTCTTTCTCCTGGTTTCTGTTTATTGGGACGATGAAAGTACATTTTAGTACTTGCAATTTTGCAAGATCTGACCCTGCCTAACGTTTTCTGTTCTCACTTTTGCCATATATTTTCTGACATCTGACAGTTTTCCTTGCATATTAGTTTCATTTTCCACCCTACAAGCTTTCTGCATACTCCAGATATACTGTCTGAGGTGACTGCTCAACTAGTTAGAAATGGAGCCCTTTGTTATAAAAGGTTTTCCACAGGTTTGAAGCTGCCAGTTTTTCACAGCCGACAGCCACAGTCTTTTTCTTAAAGGAATTCTAGAACTTCTGTGAGTCCTCATTATTTCCCTTATTGTCAGATTTTTAAAAGTTAAATTCTGATTTACTTATATTTAGCATTTATTCATGTTACAGCCAGTTTTAAAAAAAAATTTGAATTAATGTGTCACCACTCACTTTGAGGTACAGCTTTCTTGACCAACCATTCAGTAAGGTCTTGTAGCTCACTTTTCTTATGTGTCACAACCTCAGATACCTGGGTGTACTACTTACTTAGGAGAGTTTATCTCCTGGGAAGATGCAATATCACCTCGAAGCTTACATAGTGCTATTCACTCCTTATTTACAATTTCATAATATTATTTGCTTTTGAAATAATACAGAAAATCGTATACAGCAAAAGGGATCCTACACAAACCTTTCTGAAAGGAATCTGAAACCAATTAGAAGCCTTGTATACCCTCTCTAATTTTCTTACAGCTTATCACTATTTTTGCCATGAGGAAGGCTGTAAGATTGGTACACGTGGCTGTAGGAAATAGGCAATATTAGAGGATTACAATGTCAAACCGACTTGCAGATCTACTGCATCATCTGTGTGACAGGGAAGATACAGTGAGTTATACAAGCAATTGCAGGCAGTTTTATGGCCTTCTACACATCAATATAGTCCTCTCACCCAAATTTTGGAGCAAAATATTGCCATTGCAATATCCAGTTGACAAAATTAGTATATTTTAAGGGGCTGATCAAGGTGAAAATCATTAATACAATCTTACAAACTCATATTAGTTAAATTCCTTATAGTCGCTTTCACTTGCATGCAAGAGATCTTCCATTATTTCTCTCAGTTTAATTTCATTAATTTCAGGTTTTGGTGGTTTTTTTTAAATAAAGCCAAGAAATTGCTCTGTATGACTACTCTCATGGAGTCTTTTATTCATTTTCTGTAAGCTGTATGAATTTTAAGTGAAATTATTTTTTTCCTTTATGCAACATAAATTAGATTAGTGCATCTCTGACTGAGAGAGGTTAGGGCTGCTGGACCATCCGTGCTAACCAGCACTGGTTTCTGCCTTACTCTGTCATTTAGACATGGAATAGGAAAATCGGTTCTGCTTTTATCAGAGCATCTTTTCTTCACCAGCAGACATCAAACTGTTAAATCATGAGAGTGCCTAACACGGAAAATGCAAAATCATTGTGATAAGTATCCTTGAAAGCAGGGAAAATATAGGGAGGTTGGTTATGTTTTGCTTTAGTTTTTTTAAGCTACCCTAGCATTTATCACCATTTCCCGGAATGGCTTATGCTGTTGCCTGTCAGTGAAGCAGAGTTAATCACAAGAGTAGGTTTTTATTTTATATTTTATATACTACTTTTTTTTTCTCGTTCTTTATCAACAGAGAGTTATTCAGCAATTTTTAAGGTGGCAACTCCTGTTTTAAAGCAAGAACTAACATGTTTCTCTTATATGTTTTTGAACTATGGGTTTTTTTCAGCTGTTGAACTGTATCTTGTCTTAGGACCATCTTGGAAGGCAAACAAAATTTTATTGAGCAACAAAAGATACTCCTGTTTCTCTTTAAAATTTTCTATTTACAATGACTATCTAAATTCCTTCTTATTGTCAGCAGACTGGGCTTGTATTTTCAGGCAGTTGACTGTAACTGCGGGCAACAGATGCATTTAAAATAGACGGCAATAAAATGCTATTTTTCAGTTGTAGTGATTGGAAGGAAATCTGTCAATCAGATATGCTTTCAAATGGTATTTATTTTAAAACTGAATATTCTAGCTTAAAAGATTTGCAATTGTTTTCACATTTGCTACTCAAAATTGTTAACGAAAAGAATTAAGCGATAGAAATGTGCACCTGGAATTTAGTATGGAACATAATACTTAGTGTGCACCAAGTGTGCACTATAAATACATATTTATACTATAATTGACACCATAAATAGTGTAATTTGTCAATTCATCTGCATATTTGGGTATTTTTAAAGAAAACTAAAGAATATTTAAAAACAAACTTTCCTTACTTTTATAATTCTTCATGCCATTAGATATATTACAATTTTTAAGCAATATATTATTCAACTGATAGAAGGTTAGCATGCCATGTCCTAACAGATTGAGCAGCTGCATTGGCTCTTTAAGATACTTCACACTTAGCAAATAATCATAAATAAATATAGTCAAGTGTCAAAATATGCTACATTGCCAATATTGTGTCAAAATTCAAAGACAAAGTTCAGTTTTGCAGCAGCTGCCAAGTAGAATCTAAGCAGGTGGGAGAGGGCTGGAGGAACCAGTAGCCAGAGGAGGCTTCAGGAAGATGGATTGGCACCTTTTGGTAGAGGTAGGAGCTGCAGCTCCTGCTGCATGAGGGAGTTAGTGCTTGCCACCGTAGCTGTCCCTCTCCGTGCTCCCTTTCAGGGTTTGTACCATAACAGCGAATTCCTGTGTCCTCAGGCTGCGGTTTCTAGCTGTTCATTGCCTACAGCTGGCCAAGGAGGTGAATGGAAATCTGCACATGGAGTTTTGTTGTGTTAGTAATAGTTAACAGTAGACAAATACGGGAATGAGAAAGAGAAGAAAGCCCAGTGTTCATACAGGATGTTTTCGTTCTGTATTCCTTCTTAAAATAAGCATTCATATGTATACCTACCAAAATGACATGCATTGGATTTCAAAGCCGTGGTGATTCAGGTGTCTCCTCAAATGTAAGATGGTACTTATTAATTTCTGTTTATAAATGCATACGAACTACATTAAATGAAACTGTTAGTCATATTAATTTAAAACTATAATTGATGGAATCTATTTTAAAAGCTGGATTAGAAAATATTGCTTTCTGACTGAAAAAAAGGACTTGACACACTCTTTCCTTCCATTGCTAGGCCAAGGGAAGTGTGACTGTGGGAAGTGCAAATGTGATGAAGGCTGGTATGGTGAAGCTTGTCAGTATCCAACTACTTGCAATCTCACACGGAAGAAAAGCAATGAAATGTGTAAGAATTCTCAAGATATCATCTGTTCCGGTGCAGGTAAGAAGTCTTTTGTTGCTTTTGATGGCTTGATGTACTGACTGTGTTTATCTTGAGCATCACTGTAATTTCTGTTCTAATTAAGAATTTTGTAGAGTATGTTTCAAGAAACTGAGAAATACCTGTATGTGTACTAAAATGTTTAGTTCTCCTATAGGCCCATTCCTGCACATATGATCTACACTGATTCAGAATGCCTGCTTTAGTACTCTAATTCACCTATAGCTATTTCAGGCTGATGAAACTGCAGCTGCGACATGTACTTTGCCCATAAAAAGGTTGTGGTAATGGCATTAACACAGAAAGCGATTTCAGATATTTTGTTTGTGTTTATAGCATGCAGAAATGGCATTTGCAAATATTTTCCCACTACATTTACAAACTGTACAATTTTTGAAGACGCTTTTGAGCTGTAACAATGATTACTGAAAATGTTGTGGAAAATCTGCTGAATCATTTTAATGGGGTACTTCCATCTTCACCCTTCTGATTTTCTAACTCTCTTTTCTGTAATTCTTTAATTTTATAACTCATCCTAACTGAAACGGGAAGTTGTTTCCTTATAAAAATCAGAGATAAAAAGAAACAACCTTTTAGAAGACTTCAGTGCACAATGGTAAAATTTTGAAAGGCATTTGCTACCAATCAAGGTTTGAGACCATAAGCTGCTTTCCAGTTTTTCCGTTGATCCCCCAGCATGAGAATCTTTCAAGAACCTACTTCTGCTCACTGTTGCTGATCTTTTAATTTCTCTCTGGATCCATACATATAATAGCATACATCTAAATCTCTCACAAGATAATTGCTGACATGAGCAAAGAACCCAGAGGATTCCTGGGACTTACTATAGAGAAGCTAGGCTCTCAACAAGAAGTGAAACTTAAAATTTTAAGCATACGGCATACTGAGTAAATAATACGTGTCATTTATGACAATAACATAGATTATATGAAACTCAGGATTGTTTGTCGAACAAATGAGAGGCACTTAGATAAGAAACTGACTCTCAAAAATAAGCATAGTTCATTGTGATCAGTCAAAGTACTTAAACAAGAATGTTAAGACGCTTCTTTCTTTCCTTGGCTGGAAGTGGCCCCTGTCTGTTTACCACTGAGTCTTCACAGGAAAACCAACATAGCTGAAAAAACACTAAAAGTGGCTAAGAGGGGAGTGTTTGTGAGATCAGTAGAAGAATAAATACTCTGCTGATATTAAAGAATAAATGCTTTGCTGGTATTAAACTGGACAGGAATTCCAATGAGATTGGGTAGGGAGTTTGGGGTGACTTTGATGAGCTGTAGCCATATGTATTTTGTCTTGATGGGATTGCTTTTCAATCCGCTTCCAACATTGCCTGTGGGATCTGAGCTCTCAATTAAATTAATTGTCAATTAAAAAAAATTAACAATAAAAGATGGAAAGGGATAACATGAGTTGTTGCAAAAACAGTCCTCTGCTGTCATACGGCTAACCATCCATTATAATTCCTTTCATGAACGGATCAAGATCCACCTAAAATTTAGTTTTTCTGACTCAAGTGTGCCTAATAATTTGTCAGAGCAACTAGGGCATCCTACCTAAACCTTGATTCTCTAGGTAAGCAATTTCCACTTTTAATCAATGGGAAGGAATAGACACTTTTAGGACACAGTCTGTCTGACTTCTTTAGATGCCCAATTTCTAAATCAATTTAGTATTTTATCTTTTTCTCTATTTGGGAATTAACTGTAAACAACACAGTTTTCTCAGAATTTTTATTTGTATTTATTTTCCAAGTAGCTGTAGGAAATAATTCTAATTCTGTAGGGGGTCTTATACAGCCGGCATGGTAATACATTTGTTTCAAATGTGGTTTTGTAGTACTTTTGCTTTTTTGACTGTATAACTCCTTAATATGCTTATTTATGGGTGTTATATGTTCTCATGCATTATGTTCCAAAACAGAAAATGTTCAGAAGGAGGAGGAAAAGGCAATTGTTTACTTTGCCCTGGCAACTGCACTCCAGGTCAGATAGACTCTCCAAAGAAACAGGGGGGATTCTTCCTTCCCTGGGAGCAACAAAACAAGCCATTTTTGTTTGGGAGGGTGGGTGATGGAGAGAGGCGGCCACTGAGGTGAGGTGACAACTCTACTCAAAAAACCAAGAAACAAATGTGCAACCAGACCAGAGGTGACAGAATAGAGATTATTTACAAACCCATTTCCATCCTTTGCATCACTTGAGTGCTCTGGCTTTTGCTTACGTCAGAAAGTTTTCTGCTGTGGTTTATGTTCTGAGAAAGAACAGCTCTACACTTCCAAAGCATTTGGGAGTCCCGAGGGTAGTTACATTGAGGGAGAATCTCAGGCAGGCCCATCTACTTGTGACAAATTCGCAACTGTCTTTATTATATCTCTCATATTTCTGTCCTTCTTGCAAGATCTACCCTTTTCTGAGCATCACCTACAAACAGAAGAAAAAGGAGCCCTAAAAGGCTTAAAGTTAGATTGTGTCAAAATCCTGAAATAAGATATTTCTGGATCGAGCCCCTTTTTCCTGACTTCTGATTGTAAGTTCTTCATGCAGATGTTCCTCACACCTCCTCTGATTCCTGGCTTTTTCTCCAGCACTGTACTTTTTATGTCTTAATCCTCAGATGATAGCTGTAGGAAAGGGACTGAAAACTAGAGTGCAAAGGAACTTTGTGAACTTACACAGACATATAGTCAGGCCCTCAGTAGCCATGTCCTGTTACTCTCATGTAACATGGCTGTGGACCTGGACAAAACTGGACTTCGTTCTTGAGAAGATGGCTAAGTTAAATTTTCTCCTTTCAGTAGGCAGAAGATGTAAGTTCCAAAGCTGACTTCATACCTCAGTTGTATGAAGTCAGACAGGCAACTCTAGGAGTGAATTTAACTTAGGAGAATATGGTGCTCCTTATTAAGAATGAACCACTTGAATCTTTCTTGTATATATTTACAACAAGATTAGGCTTTTTGTTGGTATAGACTGTTCCTATGGCTTGCTTTATTTGGCTGGGTGATCTTTAGATTTCAGCTTTCTCAGAAATAAAATATGCACCATCTCTGACGGACTAATGAAACTCTTTCCATAAACTGCAGTCATTGAATACTGTGTTAAATGTTTACAGGCACATGTCAGTGTGGCAGGTGTAAATGCGCAAACTCAGAAGGAAATGGACTGGTCTATGGTAAATTTTGTGAATGTGATGACAGAGAATGCATAGATGATGAGACAGAAGAGATTTGTACAGGTATGTATTTTAGTGACTACAAGAAGAATGGTGAAGATTAATACACGCTGTTATAAAATCACTTAATCGTGTGGACCTACAAAATGTCTTTATTGAATGTATGACAAAATAAAGGTAACTATATGTGCAATAATTTATCTTGCAAATTGTAAGTGGGAATTTCAGATGCAAAAATGAGCTAAGCAGGAGGTTAAAGAATAAAGAAATCCTGTGACATCCTCTTCTTTCTGGGAGAACTGCAAAGAGGATTATACAAGGTAATTCACTAAGGTAATTCATAGCTTGGTGTGTCTGTCTTTGGTAGAATATAAGAAATGTGAATGCTTTGTGGCACAGATGAGAGTAAGATGGAGGACATAGAAAAACAAAGAAAAAAATTAGATTAATAAGAATTTTGGCATAGAAGCAAAAACTAAAAAGGTCAAGAATAAATGTAGGATGGGAACTCTGAAGTAATTCAGGACATAAAAGGGGAAAGGAATGAATGAAGAAAAATTTCACTCATGACAGGAAAGGCAAGAGAATAAGATGGAGTGAACACTGCTTATAGAAAAGCAACCAAAATTCAAACTGCGCTTTCATTTCATTATAAGATAGGAACCTGGCAATTAAATATAGTGTGTATTTATGGCATTATAAATGCTGTTGCCTATATGACTAGGGAGGCTTGTCCTTGAGTTGGAAGGTGCTATAGATATTTTTCAAGCTATACTCGTGCAGACTGTGTATGTATGCATACAGGAGGGTTCAGAACTGCTCTTAAGACTATTCATACACTGATCGCAGTGCATGATCTATGAGTGTATGTGTATAAAGAGAGAGAACTTGTGTAAAATAGCTTTATCTGTCTTTATCCTTACACTGAGAACACCCCCCCCACATTTATTTAAGTGCCTTTGAAAGCAAAAAACTTTTTTTTTGCATAGAATTAAGTAGGGATTTTAAATGAGGGTAAACAGAATGGTCCTCTGAAGACGAAATCCAGGAGTACAGTACAATATTTCTAGTAATTGCCTAAAATTAAACGAGTAGAGGGCAATATTTTTTATGTGCCAATGATCCCTTTTATATTTATTTGCTTGTAACCATTATATATGGTACCAAATATGATAAAAAATTGCCATTTATTTAGTTCCAGTAAATTCTCCTTCTGCTGTTTTTGTCAGGTTTTTCCCCTCCTGTGTTGCTGCTGGTTTATATTGTTAGGTTTTTCTTAGCTTTTTTTTCCCCTTGTTTCATCTAGTGGTGCCATATTCCAAAACAGGTGCATCTCTCTAAAAAACTAGTTTTACGTGTATGCAGAAATCAAAGTATGCTAATAGAAAAGGACCAAAAGGTTGGTAGATTCAAGTCTTGAAGTTCTATGATTCATCCGTATAAAAGGTCTGATACGTTATGGAAGTGTATGCTTGACTTGGTTAGGTTGTCATAAGCTGAAAATTTTATGCACGCAGTTTATCAGTCTTAGATTTTGCTTTGCTTTCTAAGAAATCTCTGCAGTACATAACTGAACCAGGCCTTATGCAGAAAAATGGGCAGCACATGAACTGAAGGTCAAAGGTACCTAATTTCATCACAGAAAAAGCAGACCCCACATGCCTATCTGGTTATGGTTTCTCCCTCCCATCCCGACGTCTCCTTTAATACCCTCTATTCCATCTTTTCTTCCACAGGATTTCCACCGCAGGAATGATTTAGGTTTATTTATGAAGTAATGAAACGCATTCCCACACGGTTCTGCTTAGTTAGCAATGGCCCCTGGACACTCTCCACAGGCAGGGTGAACCTCATCAGCGCCTGCTGTACTTTCACAGTTTGCGTAGCACCTACTTACTTGCTACATACCCTTTATTGCCCTTGAAGGTATAGACAGGTCTTGAATATTTTAATTGTCTTCAAAGCTGACTCAGGAGGATCAAACTAATAAAAACCCAAAAGCTTCTATTTACACACACGTTTCTAATGCCTGCAGCTGGGAGCTGGGATTTTATCCTGGAAAAGTATACAATGCCACGCTGAGATATGGGTAACATGCATTTTAATCTTTGCACAGGGGGACTGCATTTTTTAAGCAAATCACTTCTTTGGTAGGGAACAGTTACAAAAATGTATCAAGCTTTTCAAGCCTCAGTTGGATTTTTATCAGTCATTTGCCTGTACCACTTTTTATTTGAGGTTACATAAACATTGGAATCAAGCTGCAGTTTAATAAAGTATCATGGTTTCCAGCAAATTAAATTCTGATCCTGATCTTTTTTATCTAAGGCTTTTTTGCTGTGATGGAGTGATTTTGTCTTCAGTCAAGGGTGAGAGGTAGTGGCAAATTGTATAATTTAATTCATAGTTGGTTGGAGACTACACAAGTGTGAGTGACTTTTAATCTGCAAAAATTGCCAATAGATCAAATTGATTTACTCCACCACCATTTTTTCCTTTATTTCTTGTCTACTGTTCAAGAACAACCTTTTGGTAATAAGCAGTATTTTAAACTGTCTTCGTTATTCAGTTATTTAAGTAAGATGGTATTTTTATCTTCTGTTATTTTTTGACATGTAACCAAACAATTTTAATGAAAATTCCATGGATAACTGTAAAACCAGGAAAAAATTTTATTCCACAGCTCTAGATTTACACTCTTGATAGTTAAGGATATAAGTTGGCTAGAATCTGATAGAGATTCAGGTCTACTAAGGTTAACATACCTAGAGAGGAAAAAAGGACACGGTCCTGACTTGATCCTTCTGGTAAAGGATTAACTTCTGGCTTTAAGATTAGTAAGAGTTGTAACTACTTAATTTAAATGCTTTGTGTCATTAAAGTACATGGCAGAAGTACCTTAGTGGATCAAAATGTTCAGGAGCTGGTTTCATCAAGCCTCAGATGACTCAAGTATCTTTTTGCGAGATATGTGGTTTGTTAAATGAATATCTAAAAGATTAATTTTACTAATTCTTGTCTTTCATGAACTGGTTTATCCATGATCAAAAATCTTCTTAATAGGTAAAAAGAAAAGCCATATACGATGTAGACAGTTTGTAGTAATTCAAGGTCCTTCTGCTGAAATGATCTGAGGAGTTAGGAACACACAATGCTTAGACATACCCAGTAGTGTGGGCAAGTGTGTCCTATCTTAATATATAAAACTGTGCCTAACTTTTAACTATTACATTTACTGTATTGCAAATTTAGCTATAAGCTTTCAAAAATTAGGCCTACAAATCTAAAAATAGTGATATTATTTTCGTAGTATTTATTGATAGAAATCTGTGATTAAATGAAAACCTGTTCTAAACTAGACTTGGGAAAAAGTATAATTCAGATATCCTTTGTCTTATTTTCTGTAGAAATATATGATCTATAAATTGTTTCTATTCTGAGTCTAGCACTAAAATTTTTTTTTAAAGAAGATCAAAACTGTTAAATTGTTAATGCCTTTTTAAAACTTGCCTTTTTCTCACTGTATAAAACTTGTTTTGGGTTAAGGCCATGGAAAGTGTTACTGTGGAAACTGTTACTGTGAGGCTGGTTGGCATGGAGATAAATGTGAATTCCAGTGTGACATCACCCCCTGGGAGATCAAGAAAAGATGCACATCTCCAGATGGCAAAATCTGCAGCAACAGAGGTGTGTCATTCGCACGTTCCTTCTACACATATTTATATAGCTTGCTGTTGTTTTACAATATGCATTTTCCGCGCTAGGGCAGAGGTGGTGTTTGCTGGTAGTTTCTAGTTTGTTCTCACTTCTTTCAAATCTGGATATACGTTTCCAAGTGAGTGGGTAGACACCTTTGTTTAGGTATAAACTTATACATATCCACACCCATTTTTGCATTTAGATGACCCAAGTTGTTCTCATCCTTCATTTTGTAGTAAGACTGAGCAGGATAATTTGTTAGTACATCTGCTTTGGTGAGAGACCTATCCTGCAAACTAAAATATTAACAATTTTTTTTTACTTTGAATGGACTGATGCTGTAAAGTCGAGAGGACTGTATGTCAATTCACTCTTAAAAAAGACCAAGGACCCACAATTGGATAGGCAAAATGAAAACCCAAAGCTTTTCGTTTCCACTACAACCTGAAAAGACCACTAAGAAGTGTTCGGTAGCGACGCTGTGGAATGCATACAGAGCTGGCAAGGTAGACTTCACACAATATTTATAACTACATGGGGTTTTATTTGCACAAAGTCCTGGAATTTGAATTTTACCTTATACTTCGGTCTAATTCTGCAATTTTGGAAAAAAATAGCACAAAATAAAGTTGCTTTTCATCAGTTGCTATGTTTGGCTTCATTGAACAAAGAGATAAATATTTTTTGGCTAGTAGTCCAGAATAATTAAAGTAGAATATAAGTGAAAATTACATAGATACCTCTCTTAAAAACATGTCCACTGACAAAACCTGCTACAGTGTGAACATCTAATTATCCTGAGAGCATTTAGAAAACTTTCTTCTCTTAAATATGAGGAAATTGAAAGATTGACTCAAATACAGAGATCATGTAGGCTCATTCGGTCTTGGGATGTCAAAAGTAAAAATTTTTCTGTAATTCTGGACATAATAAATATCAAAGTGGCTTCAGATCAGATGCTTTGTTTGTACAAAGAATGTAATATCATTTCAAAGAATTCCTTGTCTAAACAATTTTTTGGTCAAATTTGAAATTTTAATGTGCAAGTGTGTTTTTAAATTTACATTGTACTTGGGGAAATGAGGATAAAAAGTATAGCTGATATTCTGAATAACTACAAACTCCTATACAAAGGTACATTCATGGGATACTTCTGTATTTTTAGCCTTTCATGTATTTGTGATTTTATCCACATACAAATTTTGTAGGCTTTTGACTACTTGAAGTTGCTTTCCAACACGCTATTTCTACTCTCTTTAGTTCTATTTACCCAGTTTTCTGTGTTTACACATCTTGTGATATAGGTGCAGTTCATCTTGTCAGTCTTGAGCCTTCTAAATATTAAATATCGAGGCTACCCTTGCTGTCCAGCCTCCTTCAGTGCTAAGATGAATAGATTGTCTGTTATCTTTCCACCAGCTGTCTAGTCAACCAGCTGAGACCAGATTTGAACTTTAGATTTTTTTACAATTTGTTGAGAAAGTGTTTTGCATTCTAGTATCCAGGACAGCTGATCCAAATTCACTTTGAAATTGTTTCTGGGAAGATTAATCACTCTCCAGAGACATTTCCTAATTTTCTGGGGTTTTTGGTGGTGGTGTTGGGTTTTTTTCTTCTACTTCAGTAATGTCACTGAACTGTGAAAGTATCAAAAATCAGGTGCAAATTTCTTGAGGGCTGTCTTGCTGCCATCAGCACTAAACAGGACAGCAGATCTTCCTGCTTCATGTAACTGTCATGCATGCACATTTCTGTAGCCTTTCTCTTTTTGGAGAATGTGGCCATAGAACCATAGAATCATAGAATTGTTCGGGACCTTAAAGATCATCTGTTTCTAATGCCCCTGACATGGGCAGGGACACCTTCAACTAGACCCGATTACTCTTTAGTCGCCTTGTCCTGTTGTCCTCAAATGCACTACATTGTTCAGAGTAATCTGAATAAGAAGATAAAGGCTTTGGTGGAGTAACAGAAGCAGAAGCTACTTGCCAAGAAATGAACCGCATGCATCTGTGAGGTTAGGCTGCTGCTTTGTGCCTGTTGGCATCTCAGAAAAAGTGGTGAGTGTGTGGCCCTGAAGCATAGTTGGATTTCTGAATAAGGAAACTGTCTTTTTTTGTTCTGACTTTCCCTCAGTAAGTTGTATGCATGTTCTCTATATATCGGTAAAGTTGTACCCAATTAATATCTCTGTCACATTTCCCATTTCCCTTCTTGTTGTAAGCAACAGGGTGTGGTCCTGAATATTTACTTGGGAAAACTGAAAAAGTATAATTTCCATGTAGATTTGTGCTGATGTTCTTCTTATGTAAAGAATGACCTCCTAGGCATTTTCAACTGGATTAGAATTTGGATTTCCTTCTAGTTTAAATGTTTATGCTTTAACAATCATTAATTATCCACTGTGCCCAAGCCCAAGTCATTTAAACAACATTGATTTTTATTGTCATTAGTGTCAGGGCAAATTACTGTTGATGTCAAGGATTTACAATTGTTCTGTGCACTACATTTTTCTGTTTTTTCCTAACAAGGGCTCAAGAACAGCAAAAAAAAACTTGAACAGGAAACCAACTTGTTTGTATAAAAAGTAATCATAGAGGATTTTAAATCACAGAATGTGAGTGTACGCTCATGATTAACACTTGCAACTTTGACACTGCACTCCTGTGAGAGCAGAAAATTCACCAGTGTAAATTCCTGTAATCAAACTACTATTACCCTAAATTGCTCAGTTAATCTATCTCTTTCTCTCTCTTTTTTTTTTTTTTTAGGCACATGTGTATGTGGGGAATGCACATGCCATGACGTGGACCCAACTGGTGACTGGGGAGATATTCATGGAGACACTTGTGAGTGTGATGAAAGAAACTGCAAAGCAGTGTATGATAGATATTCTGATGACTTCTGTTCAGGTAAGGAACAGCTATAAAAGGAACTTAAGTGTAGTTTTATAACAAAAGCATCCAATTGGTCTAATCTTGCTCTTCCTTCATGCTCCAATTCTCATTTTCCTAGCTTAAAAGACACCAAGCTTTCACTGCATTTTTTGGGGGAGTGGACTTTTTAAATTAAAAGATATAATTCTGTAAAAAAAACCCAAAAGTTTTCAGTTCTAAAGCTTTCTTAATACCGGACTTTTTTCCTTGCCTTTTACCAAATATGAATTTTTTTCAGGTGCCCATCTCCCTCTTAATACTCTTGTCTTCAGTATAGCCTAACATAAATTGGAGAATGGTTGAAACTTTAAAAAGTATGTATCCTTCCTTGGGGAAATTTAAACTTGAAAATTCGTTAGATCAAATTTTATTTGTTATGTCATGTTATATGGCAGGAAGAGGGCAAGCGAGAGGAAGAAATTTGATGAAAAGTAAGTTAATGAGTTAATGGAAAACAGTACCCTGAGGATACCAATTGACCTGAGAACAAGTAGAGCATCAATATGTGGAAAATATGAATGTGTGGTCCAGCTACACATCGCTACCTGTACATCTTAAACACTTTCAGCTTCCTTTTTTCTTCTACTTGTAGTACAGAGCATTATATTCAAATTACTAAAGTCCATCCGGTCCATCCAAGGGTTGCAGTGTATTTAGATCCATGCTCCATGTATTGACTAACAGAAACTGAGATTCTGAGCGAGACCTTGCATAAAATTTTGTATGGTTACTGCTAAAGATGCTAATACTGGGCAGGAGAGAAAAACCGATCAATACACAGCATACAATTTGTATGCACAGGAACTTTGCAAAAACTGAGGGTGGTTTCAAAGGCACTTGACAGGTTACGGGTTGTCAGCTCTGATGCATCCTGTAGAAATCCGATCTGGCCTAATTAGTAATAGGAAGAATGCAGTCACATCAAGGAAAATAACGACGTGGTATATTCTCCTGCTGTTACTAGAATGAGGGATCCCTCATAGGAAGATCATAGGAGCTGTCTGTAATAGGGAGAAAAGGCTGAAACAAATATGATACATAAAATTCTCATCCTCCTCTTTGCCTGCTATAAATGTGAAAGGTTCCTCAACTGTTGTGTTTGGGTTTTTTTAAATACAAATTGGTGAATCACTAGCTAATAAAACTGGAGGAAAAAAAAGAAACATTTTTAAAAAACCTTCAGTGAATTAATTTGCTTGCTACTGTTTCATCCGCCTACAAATGTTATATAGATTTATTTAATTAATAAGCTGGGAGGATGTAGAACTGCAGTCATGAGAGCAGCAGGAAGATTGAGTTTGGGATATTGTCAATTTTTGAATGTATTATTGTGTTGCTGAGTATGTTTTTAGTACTCAGGGACTGATCAAAGTGTCAGCATCAGCTAAGGAATACAAAGTTAAAAAACAACATGGTAAATGTGACCTGTAGTTTAGGGTGAACACAAGAGTTTCAAACCCAACTAGATTAAAGCAAACCTGTGGCATCTACAGCTAATGCGGTATCACTTAAACAGGACTTGGACTCCCTCTTTCCCAGACTTTATTGCCATCGCTGCTTCTGCTGCCCAGGGTGGTAGTGGTTGTAAGAAAGCAGAGTGTAAGGAAGTATGTACAACTACAAAGGAGTTGGGAGGAAGATATTGCTGTTTGACATTGGATTAAGGACTGGTACAGTGGTCTTTGTTACACAGACGTAACTGTAAATGAGCAAACCTTACGAGACATGCAAAAGGTGTACATACTCGTATGGCTTGCTTGATGTAATTAAAACTCATATTGAAACCTAACTTCGTTTTTCTCTCTAATCAGCAAAAATTTTAGTACTACCTTCTTTTGTTATCCCTTCCCTTTCCATTATGTTTTAGAAAAGCCTAATTTAGCCTTAACTGGCCATTCAAGTAGGCATTTCTCAAACAGATTGTGCAAAACTCTCCATTTTCACAAGAAGCAGTGTGAACAATGTTTTATAGTCCTGCTGTTTAGTCCTGTTTCAGAAATGGACAAGATGCATACATATTAATTTTGGTTTATTATGGTAGACAGAATCTGCAATTAAATCAAAGATTTACTAGCAGAATTGTAATTTGACAGCTATTTGTTTATGCAAAATAAATTTACTTAGTGCACAAAGTGTGAACGCTTTAGGTGTGTCTGCAAAATATCCTCATTTATCACAGTTATTTGTAAATTGATTTAGGATGAATCTAAGAGGCATTAGTACGATTAGGGAAAATAATCCAGCTCACTTAAAACCCACATCAAACGGAGCTGATACAAAACTTTTCCTATCTTGTTCTGCCTACCTAATAGGTAGAAAGAGGAAATCACATTGCCCTGAGTAGCAGATTGAAATTATAGGAAATTTGGTTTACATGTAAAGAGTTTTACTGTAACTGAATGAAACGCTATGTTTACTTCATAAACTCCAAATGACAGGAATTGGCAGCCCTGCTGTGAGGATTTAACATCACACAACAGCAGCTCTCTCCAGAAGGTTCATATGGTTTGGGGTGACTGTCGATTTGCAGTACCTCATATTGGCAACTGGATGCCTTCTTTCAACATCTGAAGTGCTGTTCAGTATGTTACTGGATGATTTTCTTTCGGAGTTGTTTGCAACATTAAAGTGATTCCTCCTTTAGAGAGTGAATAGATTTCATGACTTGACAGAGAAAGAAAAAAGGCTTCCATAAGAAAATTCCTACATTCACACATCTCGTTAGCTCCTTTGTTCTGGCTCTAGCAAAAAAAATATTATATGAAAGACCATCATCCTCTCATAAGTATCGACGTGGATCAGGGAACATATATGTCCAATTTGCAACCTGTCAGCAGGTGCACATGAAAGCAAAGAACAGAATCATGGAATGGTTTGGGTTGGAAGGAACATTAAAGACCATCTAGTCCACCCCGCCTGCTGTGGGCAGGGAAACCTTCCACTACATCAGCTCTCAAAGCCCCATCCAACCTGACCTTGAACACTTCCCATGACGGGGCATCCACAACTTCTTTGGTCAACCTGTTCCAGTGCCTCACCACCCTCACAGTAAAGAATTTCTTCCTAATACCTAATCTAAATCTACTTTCTAAACAAGAGGCAGCCTTTAACACTTTTCAAGGAAAACAAATAACTAATGTAAAGAAAAGTTATTCTTGTGAAATTAGTAAGAAGGTGTATTCTGGGAGCTGCTCTGATAATTCGTAGAATGCTTGCTTCTTCCCATTTTCTCCTTGTGAACTGATAAATACACATGTTTTAGAAATATAAGCCAGTCTTCAAATGCAAGTATGGTTAGGAAGAGATATAATATCTATGTTGCTATGGTTTTCAAGAATAAACTAGATAGATAAGTGGACATCAGAACAGTGCTTTGGGGTCCTGTGTCCAGTGAATGATGACTATGTGAAGATTAAGAGAGAAAGTCTAACCTGCTGTCAGACGTCATGCAAATAAATATTTGTTTTTGTGACAAGGAATGTTTTTGCTGATGCTCAAACTTTCTTCATACAGTGCAAGGAACATTTTATATAGCCAGGATCCTACAGCTTTCTGCAAAGAACGTTAGGCTCATGATGAAGGGAGCTAGACAGTTAGCTTGGGTTTTCTTGGTCTGGCTATGCTAGCATTCCGATAGAGGAAATAGATTGGTTGGCTTTCCAGGTTAAGTTCTCAGGAGAGATCCATCCCTAACTTCTTGGCTGTCACAATTTTATAATGAAACTTCCCAGAAAAGCTTCTGTGGACTTTGAGTTTCTGTTGCTGTGTTCAGACACAGTCAAGAAGAGTCAAATTAGCTAATGAGATACCAAAACCACATCTGACTGCCCTATGGAAATGAGATTTGAGGATTATGTCAAGTATTTTATTATTTGCTCATCACTATTTAGCAGAAGGCACTGCTTTGCGACTTGGAATTGGTGTGGCATTGCTCATCTCTAGTAGATCACATTGACTGCAAGTAGATAAAAGATGGTATTGATATATTAGTTAGAGAATATGCTGCAGCTGGGTAGAAAAAGAAAAACATAAAGGTAAATGAAATATTGCCTTATGACGGCCCCAATTCTCCAGAAAGTGAGGAGATACGCATTTGTAAGCTCTATTCCATCCTTTCTCATGAGTAGTGTGTGAGTGGTAGCAAAATATCCCTTAAGAAAAAAAAATTTAAAAGGAAATATGGCTCAAATGGAATGATATTCCAGAGCTGTTGTCAGAAAACAGTAGATATAGTGAGTTGATTGTATTTTGTTTCCAATCTGTTTTTTTAATGAAACCACAAATTTCATAAAGCTCATCTAATCATGATGGATTTTAATACCATCAGTATGGAAGCTAATCTTTAATTGTATTTATTGTAAAGGTCACGGACAGTGTAATTGTGGAAAGTGTGACTGTAAAGAAGGATGGACTGGGAAGAAGTGTGAACATCCACGTTCTTGTCCATTGTCAATTGACGAAAGTGCTAAGAAATGCCAAGGAAATTCTAACTTACCTTGCTCTGGAAGAGGTAAGCCCAGTTCTGGAAGAATTTTCATGCCCTTAAAATGTATTTCCATTAAAATAATTTTTACAGATGTCCAGCATTACTAGTACTGAAAGATGTGAACTTTCTTGGCTTACTGTGCATGAATCACACCTGCATAACTTGTGAGTTATGAGAAAGGAGGAGAAGAATATACAAAGGTCACCTATTTTTCCTGTCATCTACTGCTTCGTATTTTATTTTACATACCTCAACATTTGTTTTGGAGGTTTGCAGAGATGCTTTGAAGATTGCTACAGTTAAATCTTTACTAAAGGTACATTAAAAATATGAATCTATTCTTTGCATTCTTTGACAAAACCAGCATGAGATTTTCAGCCTGTGTAAAATGTTGTGGCACCCTTGTGATAAGAGCTGTTTGGATTTCCTTTGCCTAAGAACCTGCCCTACGGAGTGCAGGACTGACTTCTAAAACGCAGTTGTTCTTCGTTGCAGTTTGCTAGTTAGCCACTGGCTTTTCATTTGAAAGTCTATCTTTGTGACACTGTAGCCTTTTCAAAAGCTTTGGAAAAAAAAGTCATACATACAATTGAAACACACATTGCAAACAAAAGGAAACTTTCGAGACTTCTCAGAAGGAGAAAGACCTGCTAATTCTCATCTGTCACTGCCTGAAATGTGGTTTTCTGCAGAGAGAAGAGCAAAAAGTAAATATGACAGAGACTCTTGCTAGAACTGGTAATTGAAGTTGTGAATTCTGCCCACTTAAGTGTTTGCTGGGAAAGGTCTAAAGCTGCTCTTGAATTACTGCCTTTGACCTGAAATGTCATTTCAATTGCAGTTTCTTCTTTCAATAGTACTGTCTAACATAGTCAAAAATTGTAGGCTGTCCACCAAAGTTACCACTGTCACAATTGTATTTTTCTCCCCCTATAAATGTGTAGCAGCTCATAACTTAGTAAATACAGCATTAGCTGTATCTTAAAAAGAACTGTGTATTAGCATATTGTTGCTAGCTTTTTTCTTAATTAGGCTACAGTTTTCCAGTGAATTACATCTCTCTTTTCTTGCTAAAAATTCTCAAAGGAATTTTTGGCTAATAGTTAGGTGAAACATGGACATCTGTAGAGAACTTCATTTTATTGTACATGATTGCAAGCATTATAACTAAAAGAAAGGAGTTGTTGACATTAGATTTATTTTATTTTATTTTTTTAACACCGACTCACTCTTTTCGTGCTCTCATTGGATTCTGAATGTGTCTTCTCTCATCTGCTTCACTAGGAGTTGTGTATGTTGAGCATTTGGAGTCATTTCTATGATTTAATTGCATTGTGAAATGACAGAGAAAAGAATGATGGTCATAAAAACAAGTTTAATTTGAATAAAAATACAGTCTTAAGTTATGGAACGTGTTGCATCTATATTTTAAAATTTGAAAAAAAAGAGTGAGTTATAGTAAAAAAGCCTTCAGGAAGAGAACTGAAAATAAAAAGAGTAGTTTTTGAGAATAATATATGAGAGCTTTTTTTAAAATAATCTTGTTCTCATCACTTACCTGGAGTGAAGGCAGCCATCCCATGGCAGTGATCCAAAGACGGATAAATGACAAATCTTCTTATTGGTAGTTTCTTTTACCATTTTAATCTCTTTTCCGTAATTACTTTTATTTATTTGTCATATAGAGAGAATGAAACTCTTTCTGTACCTGTGAAATTCCCCCTTACACTCGTGCTCTAGCATTGGCTATCTGAAACATGAAGAGTTTTTTGGATTCTGTACTGAAAAAGATTTTTGCTGGTTTTACAAATTCTACTAAATCACATTTTCAAACATGAAATTCATGAGTTCAAAAGTTGTATGGCATTTTGAAAGTTTGCTGACATAGTTACTTTACAGTAACTTTGCTGTTTCTTCTCTATTTATCAGTCGTTGACTGACTTAGCGGAAGAGCAACAGTGCTCAATGCATAATTAAAGATTCCTTGTGGTGAACTGAGACAGTGAATCAATCCCTTGTGTTCAGTGCTGGATTCTGTTATGCATATTGCTAGTCTGCAGGATACCACCTCCTCAGATCCACAAAAAAGCTTAGGGATAAGGGTCAATGATGATCCCAAAGAGCAGTGCCATTCACCAGCGGCTGCTGTAAAGTCCTGATCCTTTTTGGGATATCTTGGCTGTAATATTGCATAAGATATATTTTATGCTGCACTGAAACATAGCTCATCAAAACCTTAGCTAATACAGGAAATGCTGTAAATTCCTGTTGATACAACACACCACCATATGCAGAAGGAAACAGAAACACACATGGAATAAATCCTATCTGAGTACTGACAAGAGTGGATAGAAACTAGATAAAAAGACATGTGCTAAATAGGTGCCTAAAAGCAGGGTTAACTGTGCAATTGTCTGCTGACCTTTGTGAAGTTTTACATGACTGATTGTAAATATGACATAAAATATTCAGCTTGTAAATAATTTGCGTGGTTAGATCATCAACTACTCTAGCTTCATATAAACCTTTGGACAACATCATTCAGTATATCCTCAAGATTCTTGAATCTATATGAACTGTAATATAGTAATGACAATCGCCAATCTGATCATCTCTGCAACAGATAAGTCTCTACAGGCAGGTATGATGCCCTAGAAGGGCAGAAGTGCTGATGGTGGCACGTGCCACATCATGAGAATTAGTTCTGTGCTATTACCACTGGAGCCTTATTTACTATAGTTTTATGCTATTACCACTGGAGCCTTATTTACTATAGTTTTATGTCCTCGCAGTTCTGATTCTTTTGTTTTAAATGCAGTTATTAATTAAGGACTTTGGGGTCCCCCTCTAGTATGATATTGCCAAAACCAATAAACCAAAAAAAATTTCCTATTTCTATTAGGAAAATTTCCTATTTTCTATTAGAAAAACATTGTTTCTAAAGCTTGTTGACTTAGTAAAGGAAGATCATAGTAGGTTGCCATTTGAATAATTCCCTATACTTTATATATGACAGGATGGGGTTAGAGCAGAAATGTGTAAACAATCCTAAGGTAAAATCTAGGTTACTATCCCTTCTACCAGCTCTTTATGGCAGCCTCTTAATATGCAAATTGCACTGTTTAATTGAAGTGTAAATTACACTAATGTACATCGTCTCTGAATTTGGCCTGCTGTTTTCATTCATTTTGCATGACCCCTGCATTCTGAAGGAGGTCTTAATTAAAGCGCTATAGCAAAGAGCCTGGCAGCAAGTAATGTTATTAGCTGGTGTAACGAGAACAGAACATAAATGCAAGTCATGCGTCACGTCTCTAGCTTTCACCTCATCAACTTTGAGACTGAGCTTCATTATACATCTGCGTGCTTCAAGCAGAGAGGCACTTTTACTAGTGTTTTAATGCCGAACAAGCTGGCATGACAGTATTTGTCATACAATTTGGTATACCCTTATATGCTGGACTGCCACTCTGAACTCCACTTGTAGTCTGTTGAACTCTAAGAGAAAAAATACACATAAATAGTTGCATCACACTCCTCCTAGGCTTGTTTATCAATAGTTTAAATCACTGATTTTAAACTGCTTCTCTGATACAGGCTCTGTATGACACTATCTCTGTTAATTGAAGCAGGATCCTCTGGAAGCTGCCTTTTGTTAGGAAAGCCAATTCGGAACTGCTGAGAATATTTCACCTTCTTCCATTTCTGATTTTTTAAAATGTTTTTATCTTCTTTTTTTATTGGAAAGTGTTCAGAAGCTCAGTATTTCAGTATTTCTCTTCTAAAGAATACTGCTTATTTGTCAGTGACCCACCTACAGCACTCCTGGCTGTTGTTTTGCCTTTTACTGTTGTCTTTTTGGGGAGACGGCAAGTAGGGACAGAGAAACCAAGAAAGGAGTGTAAATCAAGAAAACATTTCATTTCTGCAGTGAACCTATACTTGCAGTGCATGTAACAGTAATAAATGGTTCAGGAAGTATTTTATTTCTTTTTTAATCTGTTCTGATAGAAGCAGGATGTCTTGGAAGTTGTTTGTTCTGAGATGTAGGTGATATTGCAAGAGTGCGGTAGTTCACAAAAATTTCTGTAATAGAGTTTGTTAATATTCTGAAGTTTCCCACTTGTTTTCATGGTTAGAAATTTGAGAAGAGGTAAAGAACAGAGGAAAAGTAACGTATCTGTTTTAGGATGATACTTGGGAATGAGGGCTGTGGGATAAAAGCCCAGTATAACAAAGGAATCATTAAACCATGGCATCTATGGCTGGCGGTGTAATAACCATAGATGCCACTTCGCAATGAGAATAATTTGACATGCTCTTTTCCAGTATAATGTTTTTTGATTCAAATGTGTTTTATTTTATTCTTGCCGGTAAGAAAGGCAGTATAGGACAAAACAAATTCTGATGTTTAAATGGATATGCAAGAGGCAGGAACAATTACTTGTATATGATATATCTATGTAATTATTCATATGTGATATATTCATATATAATTAGTTATTATGAGTGTGGTAGGTGTCTACTACAGACCACCTGATCAAGAAAGAATGTAAATGAACCCTTCTTTAGACAGCTGAAGGAAGCCTCAGTATTGGAGGCCTTTCTACTCACAGGCAACTTCAGTGACTTTCATATCTGCTGGAAGATCAGGATGGATCAACGCAAGCAATCTAGCAGATTCTTCCCACATCTCCCAAGCCCCTGAACCTCAAGGCAGGGACTGAGGGAATGAAATCCCTCCCATTGTAGGAGAAGATCAGATTCAAGATCACCTGGGGAACCTGAACATACACAAGCCTATGGGACCTGACGAGATGCAGCCCAGGGTCCTGAGGGAATTGGCTGATGCAGTTGCCAAGTCACTCTCTGTGATATTTGAAAAGTCCTGGCAGTCAGGTGAAGTCCCTGGAGACTGGAAAAAGGGAAATATTGCACCCATTTCTAAAAAGGGTAGCAAGGAGGACCCTGGGAACTACTGACCTGTCATCCTCACTTCTATGCCTGGGAAGATCAGGCTGCAG